CGCGATTCCTTCCTTCGCCAGAGCCAGCAGCGCCTGGAAATGCCCTTCCGGATCTCCACTCTCCTCAAACTCCTAGCATTCAACAAAGCACTAATTACATAAACCAATCGCGAAAGGCATGTGCCAATCTCAGATGCCAGCAATGAAACAGGAATGATACACAATCCACCCCTACCCCACATCTCGTCGGGTGCACGCCCACCGTGCAGAACAGCCTCCCTGCATCGTCCAAGCACATCACAGCTTCTCGGGCACATTACAACAAACACCTTGAAGGCACCAAGCATAACATAGTCAAAACAACCCGCATCCAAGCAGCTGAGCTCACCGTCAGTCTCGGCGATCTCGAGCACTTCTCTAGATTCCTTCAGCGAGCCTCCGGTGACCTTCCGCCCGGACCAAACCAAAGAAAGCAAGAGATTAAGCACACCAAAGCTGAGCCAAAAGAAAGTAGAAACAAAGCAAGAAAGAAGCGAAAGGGGGAATGGCCGGCAGCAAAGCAGCGTACGATGATGCGGTCGACGCCGGCCGCCCACGCGCGGGCGATCACGGCGGGGATGTCGGCGGCGTGGCACTGCTTGCCGTGGTAGATGCCCCTGAACATGCCATCTTCAGTTCGTTCGCAGCAGCAAGAGCAAGACGCCAAGACGCGAGTAGAAAGCGTGAGAGCCAGGCAGTGAAACGCGAAAAACGAGATAAGAGTCGGGAGGAGGAGGAGGAGGTGGGTACCGGTGAAGTTGACGGCGATGTCTGCTCGTCGCGGTGGCGCCGGAGATGGAGAAGAAGATGAGAGGAGGAGTAGAAGAAGGCCGGGTCAGTCCAGGTAGGAGCATGAGAGCCGCGAGCGAGAGAGAGAGAGAGAGAGAGAGAGTAGAGCACTCGCCGATGAGCTTGACGCCGGTGGACGCCATCGCCGCCGCCGCCGAGATGGGGGAGAGTCCGAATTGGGCCGAGGCCGGTCTTCGTGTTTGGGCCTCCAAGGCTCCAACAAAACTTGAGTTTCGTCTCGTTCTTTTAATTTTCTTTAAATTTAAATATATAAATAAATTTATTTTTTGAGTTTACAATAATTGAAACCTAATTAATTATACACTAGTAGTTTTTTCCTTTTTTTTTTCGCTTCCAAATATTGTTCGGATTCGGAATTGAGCCCTTCTTTATATGCATCAGCAATCGCACTGATTGATTCGTTCAAGAACAATACTCTTCAAAATCCAATCCTTTTTTTGATCGGATCGACTGCTGAGATGGCCGCCGCGTCCGGCATCCGCATCCTGTCCAAGAAATTCACGCCGCTGCTGTGCAGATCATCGGTAAGTAGTATATACTGTAGTAGTTCATGAAATTTCTTAGGCTTTATGATGGCAGTACGACAAACAGATTAAACCCTAGTAATATTTGATCATCGGAATAATTAACTATTGACCACTAGTACAGGTGTGGTAATTAAAGATTTACCACTGAACCCACATACCTTAGACACATAATGATGCACATGTTATAGACTTTAAGTCTTCGAGTGGCAAATCCTTAATTGTTACATCTTAAAAGTGGTAAAAAGTTAAATGTCCCGAATTTTACAAGTGGCAATTCAACATCATGTTGATTACCAATGCATGTCCCGACATGTCATATGTGACTGGCCAGTTTTCCTTGCTTATTTAACTTGTGGTTTTCATCTTTATTATGCAGGTAGCAAGAACTGGCATGGCCTTGGCTAAAACCAACCACACGAGTACACCATTTGTGAATTCTCTTAATGGGGCTAAGATACCTTTTTCATCCAGTTCCATCATCAAGGACAGCCATTCGTTTCGTCAATCTTGGCATCCAAGGACTCCAGAGCCAAAGTAAGTAAATCATATACTAGAGCCCATGCGCTCTACTTGTTTTTTTCTATGTTGATTGTGTGTTCATTATGTTGCTCAAGTACAAATTTTGCAGTCTCATAACATTTCTCTCTCTTTCTCTTTTTGTGCTTTGCAGTACTGATGAAGAATTTACGATACAATGGAGGATGCGTTTCCTTGCTAATTTTCTGTTCTTAGTATATGCCAGTGGATTTATCGCACATAAGCGTAGGAATTAACTCATAAGATGAAATTAGGAGCTAGCTTGCAAGCATTGGGAGCCCCTGCCTGGCCACCTGTCCTCCCCATAGACAGAACAGAAGAGCTTGTAATTTAAGTTTTGGTTGTTTGATCAACTTGTAAGTGTTTTTAGCTAAGTGTTACTATAACGGTTGTGGATGTGGTCTCCATGATTGATGTCATCATGTATATATGCAATATATGCATGAACTTGATACTTATTACGGATGGAGAGGTCAGATGGAAAGGGTCTCCGGCGAAGATGACGTGGCGGCGCCGTCGCAGCCTTGGCCGAACTGGCCACCTCCTGTCTAGATCACGCCAACATTAAACTAGCGCATCTCGTGCCTTTAGCTACGGAATTCCCGTGTTTAGTTCCACGTCGAAATTAGAAGTTTAAAAAAATTAGAACGATATAATTAAAAAGTTGAAAGTTTCTATGCGTAGAAAAGTTAGATGTGATGAAAAAATTGAAAATTTGAAGAAAAAAATTAGAACCTAAACAGGGCCTAGATGTACTAATTGCAAGCTGAGCAAACTTCTACGGCAGACATGTACAGTGCCAAGCACACCTAGGCTGGTTTAGTTCGCTAAATTTTTTTTCAAAAACATCACATCAAATCTTTAAACACATATATGGAGAATTAAATATACACAATTAGGGGGGAAATCGCGAGACGAATCTTTTGAGCCTAATTAGTCCATGATTAGCCATAAGTGCTACAATAACCCACATGTGCTAATGACGGATTAATTAGACTCAAAAGATTTGTCTCGCGGTTTCCAAGCGAGTTATGAAATTAATTAGTTTTTTCATTCGTGTCCGAAAACTCCTTCTGACATCCGGTCAAACATCCGATGTGACACTCAAAAATTTTCTTTTCGCGAACTAAACAGGCCTATAGACCCCACCCCACAGTTGATACTAGTACAAGGTCAAAATGTAGAGCCAAGAAGTTCGAAAGCTCAAAATTCATACTGTTGCATATTTGAATTGATTCAGTAATCTGAAAATAAAATCCAAACAGGCTTTAGAGCTGCTTCTCATATTTTATTTCCGTAAAGCACACATTCTGAAATTTCTGCTAGAATCTAAGTAAATCCCAATTTAAAACGGCCCCATACTAACACTGATATTTCAGAGAAGCTAAGTTGAGTAGACTTTACCATTCTCATTTCTCAATCAAGCAGGGAACAAGTAGTTCAGAGAACCCCATAGATAAAACAAAACATATTCAGAATTAATCCAACGTGCTCCATTATTAAAAAAAATTAATCCAACGTGCTCATCATGTTCATCAGTTCATGACATACGGCTCAATAATTACGTGATTCAGATTTATCACCCAAATGTTAGCAGTACAACTGAACATCTCCTGAATTAAACTCGTCTACTACTAATTGCAGCTAAGCAAACTTTCTAGTTAGCTCATACCAACCACTACTACATAAATATTTTTTTTAAACGGAGACCCTCTTTAGATTGCAACGGAGACCTTCTTTAGATTGCAGACAGACCGTAACCGGTCGCGTATGCAAAAATCATCCTCTATTTTCGTGTACAGCTCCTTAAGAGGACCGCACGCAAAAATCGATTCACATATGGGCCTCTTAAGGGTCCACACGCAAAATAAGCCTATTTTTGTAGGCAGACCTTTTAGAGGACTACACACGAAAATATATTTTCATAGATGTGCCTCTTAAGGATCCGCCTAAAGTCTGAGTTACCTGCTCATTTCCCTCTCAACACTTAAAAAATTTTCATCCTTATCCACTCATCTTTGGGCCTCTTAAGGATCCGCCTAAAGTCTGAGTTACCTACTCATTTCCCTCTCAACACTGTCAAATTTTTCATCCTTACCTACTCATCTCTCTCTCACCTTCTCTCCTCGTATTTCCTCTCCACTCTCTCACCTCTCCTCTCTCACGAGACAGGCGGCGCGATGCGGGTGGAGTGGCTAGTGGCGGGCGGAGGGTGCGGCCGGTGGCAGCGGGCGGCTAGATGAAGAAGTAGCAAACAGCGGAGATGCGTTTGTGCTGTTTGCTTGCTCATGATCACCTCTTTTGTAACCCGTATATATATATACTACCTCCTTCCCTAAACGTTTGACGCCGTTGACGTTTTTAAACATGTTTGACCGTTCGTCTTATTAAAAACTTTTGTGAAATATGTAAAACTATATATATACATAAAAGTATATTTAACAATAAATTAACTGATAGGAAAAAAATTAATAATTACTTAAATTTTTTAAATAAGATGAACGGTCAAACATATTTAAAAAAGTCAAAAGCGTCAAACATTTTGGGATAGAGGGAGTATATATATATAAAGTTTGTGCTGCTAGATGACATGAAGTAAAAAGAACAACGAGCCAAGCTCAGAGCTAATTTGTAAAATCTTCTCATGTGTTTGGCAGTTCATATGTTGCCATGAATCCACAATCGTTAAACTCTAGCGAAGAGCAACACCCCGAAGATTGCAATTCTTTTTCATCCTTGTATACCACTGAATCTCATCATACCAATATCAGACCAAGCTACACATCGTTTACTCGACATATATATACATCGTGCCAATGAGCATAAATGTAGCAAATTATAAAAGGTAAATGTAGAAAATTACAAAGATAGTCAGGGTTTGTTATCTACTCTATCCGTTTCAGATTATAAGATGTTTCAGATTATAAGATGTTTTGACTTTAGTCAAAGTCAAACTGCTTCAAGTTTGACCAAGTTTATAGAAAATAATAATAATATTTTTGACCCAAGATAAATATATTTAATAAAACTAATTTGGTAATGTAAATATTACTATATTTGTCTATAAACTTGATCAAACTTGAAGCAGTTTGACTTTGACCAAAGTCAAAACATCTTATAACGTGAAACGGAAGGAATATTAATTGATATATCCAATCAAATTGAAACTTCATTTATTATGCATATATCAAGGCCTTATATGCAGAGTACATTTGTATACACACAAGCTTCAAATTTCAAGATCCTAGGCTAGAATATGATGATGTCATATATCAAGTTTATGACCAAAAGTTGCATACATCATCAGATATCTTACAATCTTCTTCTACTCCATGTCCGTGCATTGGGCGAATCAATCTTGTCTAGTACTAAAAATATAGTGTTCGATGTCAAAAAAAGACATCCTCCTAGTGTAGCAAGCCAGAGTGTGCGTGAACTTTGGGAGCATAAAAATAGGGAGGTCTTATCCCGATTAATATAGATGCAGTAGATATATCCAATCTCCCAAAGAACTCTTCGTATCAAATCTGCATCCGGATCCCCCAGTCGAGGCATATCCTTGGATGGAAGTAATGTCTACCTGAAAGCAAGTGGGTTTTAGGGAAAATTAACACAGCACTCTATAAGTTAATTTCATACAAGGGAAAAATCAGCACTGGAAGATGCCACAAGTGTAGGCCAAAACAAATCATTCAAGCCAATCAAAAAGTTTGCAAGTTAATTTGCAACAGTGATCAGGATATAAAAAGAAATTAAACTTTCCCAAGAAAGAAATTAGAATAAAGTAGTAACGCAAATTAGCCATGCCATGCCACGGTCCAAACCCCAATCGCAAGCGTTAAACCTTCTTCAACACATCATTGCATCGTGAGAAACCTTGGCAGACAGGTGTAATATAAATATGTAAAATCTAACACATGCCTCATGAAGCAATCAATTACAGAATACTCTTATCATACATCTGAATTTAAATTTGCTGTCGTCTTCTTGCTTGGTACACAACATACAAAGTGTGCAATTAAACCCGACAAAACCGGACCGAATCACATGAAGACTCACAAACCACAGTGACTACTCTGTCTCCTCAGCTTACAAGGCATAGCTCCTTGGCTCCACGAAATCGAACTACAACTTAATTATGTGGAAACCCTAGGTGCTGAGGAAGTGCAAGTTCTTAGCCTGGCTAGTAGTCAAAATAGAGTTTGGACATCGGATCGACTAGCTGCTAGGGGACTTAAGAGTTTTCCAACACAAGGCGCTCACGGTTATCGGCTTCTTCAAAGGAAGAAGCGAGGACCTAGGCACTTGCAGACAAGGTGACTACTAGAGGTTTTACTGAAAATTATATTAATTCCCTTAGTCTTATTTAAGTAGTCCGTACCTAAGGGCTGTAAATCTCTCTTCCTTATTCAATGAAATAGGCACATGCTCGTGCCAATTCGTTGAAACCCAAAAAAAAAAGGTACTCAGCGAACATCTGATCAGCTTTTGAATATTGTTTATCCACCCATTTGAATATTTGATGATTGAACAGGGTTAATCATACTTGGTTCTTGAATCTCGGCTAATGTGGCTGACATCGCACTATCTACTTGTTGCAGCAAAATAGCATCCATATCTCTTTGTCTATCACTTAGGAAATTATGCAATACTACTACTTCCTCCGTTTCAAAATGTAAGACTTTCTAGCATTGTCCACATTCATTAACATCTATATGAATGTGGGCAATGCTAGAAAGTCTTACATTATGAAACGGAGGGAGTATGCGATAAAAGGACGTTCCAAGGTCCAAGAGCTAGTAAAATACCCTATATTGATCTTATATATGCCTAATAGCACTGGGAGCAGCACACAAATTAAACCTCATAGTCATAGGTATGGCACTATACTGGTATTGCACATCAGATAATTCATTTAAGACAAATCGAAACAGGCAAAGTCTACCAAGAACACAAAAGTGGCTTATACTACTCAAAATCTTAATGAAAGAAATTGCAACATAAAATTCCCAATATTAAAATTAAGCCCTTGTCATCACTAGCTAGCTTTTTTTTTTCTTTTTCATTAAAATTAAGCCCAAGATCTGCTCCAGATCTTGGTAGGTCTGTGTAGCAGATGTGGGGGTCTCTTTTCAGGAAAATTCTAGCTTGTGCTTTAGGCATGATGTTATCCTTTTTTATCCTCTGCTTTTGTTGAGCACCTGGGAGTTTACCTCTGAGGTTCAGACTCTGTTCTTGTAAAAGAATCTCTACATTTCTCTAATGGAAATGGAGGGCTTTGCCCTTTGCTCTAAAAAAAAAAAGATCTGCTCCAGATGCTGCAACATAGATCCATGTACCAGACGGCCACGACAGTGTGGGGAGAGGAAGGTAGCGAGCAACACGAAGGAAGAAATAAACTGTGCAGGAGGAGGACATGCACCTTGTTGGGGGATGATGTGCACTTATTGGCGGCGGTGGTGCAGGTGGGGAGGAGATCCGATGGCGACGGATCGGAGTAGCGGCCGAAGACGCGGCGATGAGATCGAGTTTCCGGACGGCGCGACTTGGGAGGCGCTGCTCGCGGCGGGGAAGGGGACGAGGAGACCTCCGGGAGATTAATTCCTTTTTGTTGAGACGAGACTCGAGACGAATCGGATATTGCTTAGGGCAAATTCCAGACGGAATTTTGTTAGGATTCGTTGATTCCAATTCCACGTGAAGCCAAACAGGTTCACCCTCCCGTTTCCAATTCCAATCGATAACCACGGTACAACGGGACATTTAACTTTTTTTTTTGCCACTTTTTAAAAGTGACAATTAAGAATTTATCGGGATATTTAACTTTTTGCCACTTTTAGGATGTAGCAGTTACTTCCTCCGTTTCAAGTTATACGGAGTAAGATTCTGTGTCAGGATTCATTAACATATATATGAATGTGGGCAATGCTAGAAAGTCTTATAACCTAAAATAGATGTAGTAATTATTTGTCACTCATTGTTTATGACATGTGGGCTATTATGTATCTATGACACGTGGGTCCAGTGGTAAATCCTTTATCACCATCCGTAAGAGTGTCAAATAATTAATTTTTTTGAATTTGCCACTCGATGTCTATGGCACCTGGGCCCTCATGTGTCTATGACACGTGAGTCCAGTGGTAAATCCTTTATCACCATCCGTAAGAGTGTCAAATAACTAATTTTTCTGAATTGCCACTCGCTGTCTATGGCATGTGGGCCCTCATGTGTCTATGGCATGTGGGTCCAGTGACAAATTATTTATCACCACCTGTAAGAGCGACAAATAGTTAATTACTCCCGGTATAATAACTAGCAAAGTGCCATGTGTTGTTACGGGAAAAGCTGTACCAAATCCTAACTCGCTATTTTTTTTTTGAGAAAAGGAGGGAAACTCCCCCGTTTTCATTAAAGAAAATGCAAATGATTACAAGAGTTCCAGAGAGGAAAAAAAATATCAAGTTCTTACAGAAAAGACGAGGAAAACAAACAGTTATAACAGGACTAGAACATTGGAATTTCAAGCATCAAAACACAGGTTTCCATCGTCGTCTTCAAAACTCCTTGCCATTAGTTTTAGCCTGCTTCTGTTTCCCATCCTATTCTTTGTCTGCCGCCCCTCCATCCAAATTTTGAGTGAAAGATCTCATTTGCTACCTGCCTTAGTAGCTGCGCCCCCCACTGCATTCTTCCTCTGTCTTCCTCCTTGCTCTGCAAAATACTCCAAGAGTTTAAATTTGAGCAAATGTTGTAAATTATTTCTATAGGATCAACAGGCAGAATTCCATCAAAGCAGGCTCTGTTTCTTGCTTTCCAAATGGTCCACAAGACTGCTGTAGCCCCCATCATGATCAACTTCCCATTCTCTTTGCCAAATTTCAAAACCCAGGAGCTAAACATTTCCCCCACATTCCTGCCAGGCTTCACATTGAGAGCGCATTCAACAACACTCAAAAAAAAAAATCCTAACTCGCTAGAGAAACGAGAAAATTGAATAATACTACGATAAAAATAAATGAGAATCGGATTGACGAGGATGGACATATATTATTGTTTAAATTCAGACTCAAAATTAGTAAGAAACATATCCTATACACGTAAGTTTCTCGTGCACACCAACTAACAAAATGTCAAAAAAAAAATCTACAAAAAGTTGGACATTTACTTGTAGTAATATTACACATATATACAAAGTCTCATATTCAAATTCATTATATTTTAGCCATAAAAAAGTGAAAATTTTAACAGTTTTAAGGGTAAAATTATGTCGGAATTTTACCTTGTTACGGTTAAGATACAATGAATATGTGTAATACTATTCGAAGTACGTGTTCATTTTTTTTTTCTAAAATTTCCTATGAGATTTGCTAGTTGGGTGCACGGGAAACTTGCGTGCACAATATATGTTCCCAAATTAGTAACTACACCACATTTAGCTACTTACATCAAACTACGCATAAAATATCAATAGTCAAATCAATACCGATAATTGATCCTGAAACGCAAGTTAGAGCTATTGATTTTTCTGAATTTATGGACCTCTGTCATATGTATGATGGTAGTCACGGATGGACCATCGACAGAAGAATCTCTTATATTATTAAAACAATTTTAAAAGAAACATTCGATCCGTTTACAATCTAAATAGGGCCTCGTATAGAAAAATCTGTAATTAGTAGATGAGTTTAATTCAGGAGATGTTCAGTTGTACTGCTAACATTTGGGTGACAAATCTGAATCACGTAATTGTTGAGCCGTATGTCATGAACATGATGAGCACGTTGGATCTGAACCAGCCATGGGCTCATTTGGGAGCCAAAGGAAAAAGGGTTAATTGGATCCATGCCACTGCAAATATGGCAAATCAAAAAAATGCCACTACTATTCACGTTATCGGCTGGGTGCCACTGAAATTTTGCAAAATTCGAGCTATGCCACTCCGTCACAGCAACTGCCAATACCTCCGTTAGCTCTGTTATTGCAGATCCCTTTCTTCTCCAACTCAGGTAAAAATCTGGGGGCGCTCAGGCTCATCGACGACGGGGCAGAGAGGGCTTCTCCGGTGAGGGTGGAGGGGAGCGCCGAGCGCCCCCGCGCTGGAGGAGGGGCGGTGACGAGCAGGTCGGCGAGGAACTGCTGCAGCTCCACGCTCGAGCTCGAGTGCATCGTCGCCGAGGCTACTGCTGCTGTTCTGGAGAGGATGGCATTGGGGCTCGCCGGCGACGACGCCCCCATGCGAGGCTGGTTTCCCGACGACGCGGCGACGAGATCGGAGCAGGTTGGCGAGGAACAGCAGCAGCAGCCTCGTGCGGCGATGCACTCGAGCTCGAGCGTCGAGCTGCAGTAGTGGTGGAAGGGATAGCGTTGGGGCTCGCCGGCAACGCCGCCCCCGCACGTGGCTGGCTTCCCGACGGCGTCGAGCTGCAGAAGCAGCCTCGGTGTCGGTGCACTCAGTAGCAGTGGTCGTAGGCGACGGTGGTGGCGATGTCGGCGGCGGAGAGGCCGAGGTCAGCGAGGAAGACGATGGCGGCGTCTGGCCTAGACGGCGATTTGAGCGTAGGTCGTCGACCGCGTGAAGGAAGCGCTCGTCTTCGTCGTCGTCGAGTTCCGAGGCCGAGCCGCAGCAACAGCGCCGCCTCTCCATCGAGCTCAGCATGCCGGAGATGAGAAAGGAGGGAGGGGATGAGGATGGAAACGGAGACAGCGTGAGAGAGGAGACGGAAAAAGGGGCGAGAGTGGCATGATTCTCATTTTAGAAATTTCTAGTGGCATGTAGCCGATATGAAGAATAGTAGTGGCATTTTTTTAATTTCACAAAGTTGCAGTGGCATAGATCCAATTAACCCAAGGAAAAAGACCCTGGGAAAAATTCCCCCGAGGGGATTTTTTGGGTGACATGCCCTACCCCCTCCGAGAAAATTGACATTGTGCCATCGTCAAAAGTGGGTTTCGCCCAAATGCCACTTCACAGAATGGATTCGATAAAATGCCACTATCAACACACGGCTACACGCTAAAATGCTATGTTGGACCAAATTACCCTCCACTCCTCTTCTTCCTCCTTCCAACACCATCGGCTCCACCCGTACCGTCCGCACACCACTACCGCCTCAATGGCCGCCGTCTTCTTCATCCTCCTCCTCCTTCTCCCCTTGCTCCCGTCCACCACCCTCGCCGTTGTTGGAAATTTGGTCATAATTCGGCATATTTTAATCCAAAATAACAAGATAATAATCATGATATTTACAATAGGATTTGATCCAGTGATAGTGGTGAATGTAATCAACATGAGCATGCTTAACGTTGAATAAGCATCAACAATCACATAATGACACAATGTTGACATTGCGATGAACATTAACAGTAAAACTTCTAATTGAAATAATGTAATAAGGTTATACCCCAAGAATGGTCCTCCGCTGGAGTTTGAGGCAGTATTGCCTCCGTTGGTGTTGACGGGAGTCTCCTTCTCCTTGTCTCCAGTGTTCGACATGTTGGTGAAGATGAAGTAGATGTTGACGAACAGTGAGTAGTCGCGCCTTGCGCTCCCCAAAAACCTGATCGCCCGCCCGTCTGTGCAAACGTCGCAGCAACGCGTGGTTTCGGAGGCCTACTCTCCCAACGCGTGTGCACACACTCGTCGGGATGGGATTACCGTAGCAACAACAGCTTTGGAAAATGGATGAAAGTGTGTCTTCTTCTTCTCGCGGGAGATCAAATCCATTCCCATTTTATAAGAGGAATGGAAGATGAAGAGTAAGAGTCATGGAATAGGAAGAGGAATGGAGCAACTAATTGTCATCAACTAGCCATGAACCATCCTCCACTACACAACCATCAACCAACAATCAATTAAGAGTAATTGATGTAAGTTACCAATGGAATAGGAAGAGGAATAGAGCAACTAATTGTCATCAACTAGCCATGAACCATCCTCCACTACACAACCATCAACCATCCATCAATTAGGACTAATTGATATAAGTTACCAATTCCTTAATCAAATGGATTAATTCTCAAAACTCTTCATCCCATTGATATCCCATAGAAGAATGAATTCACATGAATTCCTAGCATAATGAGCCTTGGAATTTATTTGATTTAATTGATTTAAATGGATTAATTACCCAATTAAATCTAACAATCCCCACCAAATTTCAAGGCTCATGAGAATGCTCTCTATTCCATAGCAGCTTTTATATACCAGTGTTTCGGTGAAGACTGTTAAGTTGAACTTTCACCTAGAAAAGGAGCTACACCTGACCACAACTGAACAATGGACTATACCTTGAATTGTCAGTCTTGTGCAGTTAGGTTTCACTCAATTCCATAACTGATACTAGGCAACCATTAGTATTCCCTCGGGTTGGAGCTTATAAGTCATACTCCAGGCCTTTCATGAGTATCTAGAGATCACCCAAATCTCATAGACTGTGACTAGCAGTCGAACTCATATAGGTGTGTTCCTTCTAAGATGTTCTGCAGGTCAACATCTCTGCTTGGAAAAGCCACTCGGATCACATTAAGACATAAGCCATCCTACCATGCAGGAAAGAAGAGAAGCACATCATGAAAATGAGCCCTTTTCAAGGGTCTCTTCAGTCACACAATAGTTTGTTTCACCATCCAAATTCACGGGATCTCCGATCATAATGGACAGGTTTCCACTATTATGCAACCTTAGGT